AAATTGCCCCATGGTTCAGTTCATGGATGCACCTAATAAGAATCATCAATTTATAATGTTGATGGAGTGAGAGAAAGTGTGTTAGCATTAGATAATGTATGTGTTGTAGATGAATTGGCCTAGTGTAGTAGAAAAACTATACACCATTTCCAAAGAAGGGAAGAAATTTTTGCTCAATAAGGTATCTTTGCATGACTCCAAGCCAATTTTGTAAAATTTGATGAGGAAGATGTTGGTGCACCATCTCAAAGACTAGTCCTATGGTAATTCAACTAATGTGTCATCTCAAGAGACTAGTCCCATGATAACTCAGGAGTGACACCCTAGTTCTGACTCCAATGAAGAGATTATCAATTCCTTTTGTGACCATTTGGAGTTATATGTGGAAGTGCATACAGATGCTGATTGGGCAGGGGTAGTCGATGACTAAAAATCTACTAGTGGGTATTGTACTTTTGTGGAAGGAAACTTAATCACTTAGAGAAGTAAAAAGCAAAATGTGGTGGCTAAATCCAGTGCTGAAGCGGAATACAGAGCTATGCCTCATGGAGTTGTTGAAATCATGTAGATAATAAACATGTTAGGTGAATTGGGTTTTGTAGTTAACAACCCCATGTCACTCTATCGTGACAATAAAGCTGCTGTCAACATTACTACTAATCCATGATAGGACGAAACACATTGAAATGGACAAGCATTTTATTAGAAAAAAAACTTGTGAGTGGAGAAGTGTGCACTCCATATGTCAGCTTAGAAGAACAACTTGCGGACATCTTTACCAAGGGTCTTCATCATATACAACATAATGATTTGTGTGACAAGTTGGCCATGATTGACATCTATAACCCAACTTGAGGGGGACTGTTGAAATAGTTTACTTTATTTCTATTTTATTATTTTGTCTAATTAGGGTCTGTTTTGTCTGTTTAAATTATTTATTTTATGGCTATTACTGTACTTTAGTTACAACAGGGGCACAATGGTCTTTTCCCTTTCCTTTTGGTCGCCCTATAAATATTAATATATTCTGGCACCACTAGCTATTCTTTTTGGTTGCCAATCTCTCTTCTTCTTTTATACCTTCTCCCTTTTTCCTCTCTTATCTTCTCTCTCTTATTTTTTGTCGTTTCTCAACTATTAAGAGGTATCACTTATTTGAGTAAGTGATACCCATATCCTAGGTGGGTAAATAACTTTCTCACATTAGGGAAAGTTGTCAACACTTGGATAAGACAAAATTGCCTCTTTTAATAATGGTTTTTTATGGTTAAAATGATCATTGTCTTATTTACTCGGGTAATAAAAGAACATGGGTAAGTAACTTCCCAAAAAACAAATGGGGCCTCAAACTTTTATTGGACAATAATAAAAGTAAGAATTAAAATTAAAGTAGAATAATCAAAATTGGAACAAAAGTAGGAATTAAAATGGTGGCTATCAGAAATTTAATTCCTAGGGTCATGGTTTTCAGCAAATAGGATAAAATAGGACCCCATAGTTCAAGGGCTATAAGACACAAATCAACCAAAATCATGTTTAGTGTGAAATTTGTAGGAAATTCGAACATGAGGCACTTGATTGTTACAATCTATTCAATCTTACTTATCAAGGAAATACCTCCCATAAGGACTTGAGGTCGAATGATCTAGCAGATTCTGAATGGATACCTGATACAAGAGAAAGCAGTCGCATGACTAACGAATTCACATCTGCCACCCACAAAAAGTGCCCAAAAAACGTCCTACAACACATCCCAACCATGTATTGGGAACATCTCCCAATTACAAGTATGGGAGATATTCTCAATGTACACTAAGATATACATGTGGGGCGTTTTTGGCGCGCTGTAGATGTGAACTCATGACTAACAATGCAAATAAGTACATTTACATCTATGAAACCATATAACGGAAGAGACAAGGTTATCATTGGTGATAGGAGTAAGCTTGATATATCTCATGTCGTGCATTGTTGACAATCTAAAATTGGATAATACTCTTCCTGTTCCTGGTTTGACAAAGAGTTATCTTTTAGTATGACAGATGATCAATGATTATCATTAGGTATGAATTCTCATTGTTTGGTTTTGTTATCAAGGACAAGAAAATAGGGAGAATCCTGGGAATGGACAGTAGAGATGGTAAACTCTATTCTCTTGATGGAGAGTAATATGGTCTTTTTATTATTATTATTTTTTTGAAATCAGTTTAGGCACACCTTAGAATAAGCTTGGCATCAAAGATTAGGACATCAAAATGATGAAGTTATATGGTTCCTTGAGATGACACAAGAGCCTATTTGATAATAGAGGGGGTGTGTTCGAGAATAAAAATCAATTAAGGGACCTCACTTAATAGCTTAAGTTTTTAGGTTGAATGGTTCATTAAGATAGAGAACTGATATACAAAGGGTTTCTTTCTTCAAACCCTTGACCCAATCCTGGTCAAGCGGAGCTACATCTAATTAGAAACTGTACTAGCAATTTAACTAGTACCTTCGAATAAAATTTACAAGATAGATTGCCCTTTTCATCACTTTTGTTGTCATTTGGATCAACATTTCAAATAAATACGTTGTACTTTTTGTTGGAAAAAGGGGAAAGTTGGTTAATGGGAATACGTTCTTTTGTAAAGGCTTTATTTGGTTTGTGGGATGAGAAGGAAAAATATGGAATATTCTAAAGGGAAATTGTCTAAAACTCACCATGAGTTTTTAACATTTCCCTTAAACTCACCATAACTTTTCAAAATGTTTAAAACTCACCATGTCAGTAAGTTTTTTCTTTTCCAAAACTCACATTCTGTTAATGCACCGTTAATGCTTCTTAACAGAGGTGTCCATGTCAGCATAAATAACAATTTTCATGACCAAATTGCCCTTGAATGGTGAGTTAGAGGAGAAATGGTCTTTTTCAGTTTTTAATTTTTTTGTTTTCTGCATTTTTAGTGTTTTGTTATAATTTCCAATGTTTTTTATAATTTATGTTTTTTTTTTGCATTTTCTATATTCTACAATCTATAAATTTTCCTGTATTTTTTGTTATTTATTTGTAATTTCTGTGTTTTTCTATAATGTTTAGTGTTTTTTCTACAATTTTTATTTTTTGATTTTGTTTTTCAATTTCTATAGTTTCTATAATTTGAAAATAAATGTTTATGTTTTTTGCAATTTCTATAATTTTTTATATTTTTTGCAGTTTCTATGTTTTTATGTATTTTATATTTGAAAATATTTTTTGAACTTTTTCCTTTTTTCATGTCTAAAAATTAAAATGGTAATATATTAACACCTGTTAATTTATTTTGTATATATTTTATATTTTTCTATGAAGGTTAAAGTGGTAATATATTAACACCCGTTAGTCTGTTTAACGTCAAGTTAGTGACATTGTGAGTTTTTGACATTTCGAAAAGTTGTGGTGAGTTTAAGAGAAATGCTGAAAACTCATGGTGAGTTTTAGGCAATTTTCCTATTCTAAAATATTCCTCTCTTCCTATGTGGGATGGGAAAAAGGAGGGATTATAGATCCCAATTCTTGGGATATGGAATCCCACCATTTTAGTAGGAAATAAGTGGGAATGTAGGGGGAAACTTGTTTAACAAAAAAAAAAAAAAAAAAAAAAAAAAAAACACATTCCTTGTAGTATTTCTAGGAGTTAATACTAGATCCAACACTCATCAATAAATTATTAATGGTTTAATAAATATTAAGAAAATAATTTCATTAAAGCAATTAATACATAACTTAAAATAAATAGCTAATAAAATATTAATCAATAAAAAGTAATTTAACAATCAATTAATTTGTCAGAATAAAATGTTAAAATTATTAATTAAGTCATAAATATTAACAATAAAATATAAATTAATAAAAATAATAATATTGGTTAATTAATTATTTAATATCAAACCAACAATTAACAATAAAATACTAAATCATAAAAATATGATTAATTAATAATTAAAGAGAAAATATTTAATAATTAATTAATTAAATAATTAATGAATAACTAAATAATTATATAATTAATACTTTAATTAAAAATTAATTAATTAGTGAAAATTAATTTGATAATTTATTAATATTTAATAGTAAAATATTAAAATTATTAATTAAGTCATTGGTATTAATAAAGTATAATATTAATAAAAACTTATAAACTAATAGAAAGTAAAACATTAATTAATGATAATAATTAATTAACTAATTATGGATTTTAAATAATTAATATATAATTAATAATAGAATACTAAATAATAAAAAATATTATTAACTAAATAATAATTAACAACAAAAATAGTTGATAATTAATTAAGTAATGAATGAATAAATAAATAAGGATCTTGTAATTAATATAATTAATGATTAAATAAAAATAAGTAAATAATAAAATTTTAAATAATTAAAAATAGTTAATAATGAAAAATAATATTAGTAATTAGTTCATAGTAAATATTAATAAAATAAATTTTAAAACACTAGTTTTAATCTATAATTAGTTAAGTAATTACCAAAATTAATTATACAATTATTTAATTAAATTATTAGGACTTAATAATAATAAAATATAAAATAATAAAAAATACTACTAATTAATTAATTAATAATTGTTATTAGGGTTGATTTTTCCACTATTTTCCCTTTTGCGACAATACAATAGAACTATTAGAACATGAAAAATTTCCATCAATTTTCGCTTTCTCATCTCATCCCATTCCATCATTTCCCATCCCACCAAAATCTTCCTACAAATCAAATGCAAATGTATGACTCATGAAAAATGCATTTTCCCTCGGAAAAAAATTGAGCCACTTTGTAGATAAATATTTCCCTTTTTACATGTGGATAAATCACTTTTCGATAGAATACCCTTGTTAGTAACTTATACAAAACTCAAGAATAAAAGTGGTAATACAGAGAAAAAAATACTAATTTAACAGAAAAGTGATTTTTTTTTAGAAACTTAAGGCATAATTGATTGATGCGAAAGAATATGGATGAGATAAATATCAAGAAACTTCATGCATTTAGATAAGGGAAATTCTCCAAAAGACCAAAACCCCCATCACTTTTTCTGAATTCTCTTAAACCCATCACAACTTTTCAAAACGTTCAAAACTCACCATGCCAGTAGCTTGACGTTAAGCATATTAAAAGGTTTTAACAAATTACCATTTCACCCTTATTACAATCAAACATAACCCTTTCCCCCAACCTCTGCGTCTCCTCCCTTCTCTGTCTCCAGCTCTTCGCCTCCATCTCTCCATCACTTCTTCTCTGATCAGCATAGGTGTTGTTGATGAGAGTAAAGCCGGTCATCGGATTTGCTCCTGCTTCTTTAGACTAAAGAAAGAACAATTAATTGTCGCTGCTGTTGGATTCCTTCCACTAGATTCTCAAAAAAAATCACTTTGAAAAAAGCCTCTGACACAAAATTCTCAGTGGAAAATCCACTTTGCTTAAGCTTCTACCGATGGATGCTCACCAGAAAATCCACACCTTTTGGTTTCTCCAATTGGAGTGCGAGCTCGATTGAGAAGTGTTGCGGGGAACACTAGGAGCCCGTTACCAGTCTGTTCATTTACAGGTTCTCCATCCACGGTGGGGGAGACAACGATGGAACGATGACCCTCGTTGGTGCTGCCTTAGATCTCACCAACTCGAGCTCGTCCTTCCACCATTGATATTTCGAACACATTAACGACAGAAGAAACTTCTCAGTCTCTTCTTTCTTCTTCTTCTCCTTCCCATCTCCACCGAACGACCAACATTTTGCCACGTCAATGCTTCTCATCCTCAAAGTATACTCTCTGAAACACCAAATCACAAACTTCAGCCACAAATTCAACCATGTTCAAATTCAAAACAAGAATTCCTAACAATAACCATTGACACTTACCGGAGACAAAGGAGAAATTTGTTGTCTTTCCAGTTATTCGATCATTTGGTCTTGAATTTCCTTGCGAACTGGAAAAATTTGTAAATCTCTCCTATTTGGTAAGTGAAGAAATTCAGCGTACTCCACTTGCCCCTCCGTCTTGTGTAGCTGCAAGACCGAAGGCCACCTCATCATGATTCCAAATCCCCTGGGAAGAAAATCACGCCTAACCATGCTCTCACGGATTGAAGATTATTTTCCACAACTCTGCCCTCTGACAACGACAACTGAAGGACCTGCTCTGGGCAGGTAAACCCCTCTGCCCGTTTTCCCCGTTCCCCGTTCAGCTCAAGGACCTGCTCTGTGCATCGGCGGAGATGCTTGGAAAAGAAAGCCTTGGGACGGTGGCGATGAAGTGGCTCAAGGACGTGAACCCATGTGCGAGGAAAGAATTCAAACAATTGATTGGGAATCTTTGGCAACCCAACCTGGTTCATCTTAGGGCTTATTGTTAAAAATATGTTTAATAAGGTCAATTCACCCATTTAGGGGCAGTTTGGTAAAAAATTGTATCTATGCTGATATAGACGATATCTGTTAATGAATATTAACGTGCTTTAAAGGATGATGAGTTTTGAAAAACAAAAGATCAGTGACATAGGTTCATTAGATATTATGAAAAATTGTGGTGACTTTAAAAAAAATGTCAAAAGTAATGATGAGTTTTAGATAATTTTTCTCTTGATAAATATAACGGAAAATACGAATAAACCTAATGTAGATTTTTGAATCCCACTAGATCTATTAATATTCAAAATGTTAAATATTCACAATTTATGTACTAACACCTCACCCCTGAATTGGCATCAATTCCAACTGGCACCTACCCCAACATTAATTACAAATTCTGACCCTGCATCAAAATAATATTGATCTAAATTATTATTTTACCCCACAACTATGACAACGTGTCATGCATGTACACAAAGCTTTCAATAGGAAACCAACGCTGCCTTTTCCGATAAAAAAAAAAAGAAACCGCGGTAAAAGTGGGATTCGACCCCAAATTCGTTATTGGTTGGGACATATTTACCCTAAGGTAAAAACCTTTTATCTGCCTTCTCGAAAATCAAAATAGACATCGGACGAAGAAGTCTGTAATTCCCGCAGCGTCGCCGGGTTCTCTCGCCGGAAAACAATTCCTGACTTCTGACGTTGACGAAGCGACGGCATTTTAGAAATAAACACGAAAAGGGAAACAAAAATAAACATCGTTTTGTTCTCTGCCTCTTTCCTCCCTATTTAAAAATTTTGATGGCACAGGCAGTTCCTCTTTACCTCACCCGTCTATTGGTTCTTCTCTAAAATACGAATATTCATATCCAGCGAGATTCAGGTATAGGTCGTACGTTCTCTGGAATTCTGATTACCGGACAACAAACCCACTGGCTTCCTCAGAAATTTCGGTTTGAAACTAAGGAATTTTGTCGGAAATAAGACCTGTGTTTGATGATTCAGCCTTGGTTTTCATGCCATTGTTGTGAATGGTGCGATGAGCGGGTCGACTGTGCAGAATTGATGGATTTATTGGTAGATGCAATGTACTATCTGGAAACTAGTGATCGCTTTTTTGGTTGTTAGATCTATTTATCTGAAATAACTTTGGATTTGTTTCCGATCTTCTGAAGTTGAGAACATTTTGGTTCTGGAATTTGGAATTTTTGCATTTGTTTGGGGTTCATTTTGACTATGAGGTAGTGGATCAATGTGCTGTTTTTGAGCATTTGATGGAGGTAGCGATGTCGAAGGTCATTCACGAAGGGTGGATGGTGCGATATGGCCGGAAGAAGATTGGCCGTTCCTTCATCCATATGCGGTATTTCGTTCTTGAACCTCGGCTTCTCGCTTATTACAAGAAGAAGCCAGAGGATAATGTTGTGAGCCTCTTGCCTTACTTTCTTTTATGATTTTTTAATCTGAGGAACAGTTGCTCTATTCTTAGTTAATTGCCGGAACATTAGTTACGGTACTTCTAAATACTTATGCCCTTTCTTTATTATTGCTAAGTGTAATCTTTCTAGGTTTCATGATCCCTTTTTTTTTTAACTCTGTGCTCTGTATATTCTAGGTCCCAACAAAAACCATTCTCATTGATGGGAATTGTAGGGTGGAAGACAGGGGCTTGAAGACACACCATGGGCATGTGAGTTCCTTTCTTTTTCTAAATCCTTATTATGTCTTTCAGGTATCATAGATTTTCCCTATTCTTCATCATCTTATCTTTGAGTACAATGTAACTATTCCAAGTAGGTTGAGCCAGTCCGTGTAAAACCCAACTAAAACTTTATTAATTTTAATTTACCAACTTTTAAATGGGATTTAAATTAATTAAAACTAATGAATATGAATTATTTTTTATTATTTTATTTGTTTTTCTTACTTTTTAATTTTATTATTGTTAGATAATTTTGTATGTTTAAAATGATATTCATTTTCATTTTATCTTATTATTTTTATTAATTTACTAAGATAACCAAATATTATTATTTTTTACTCTTTTATAAGTTTTAACAAAATTTATTTTTATTAAATTCAAAAATTTTATTAGTAAAATTTTTTATTGACTTTTATTAATATTAATTATTTTTATATTGAACTTAAATGGATTTATAAATATAGTTTTTATCAATAATAACAAGATAAATAGTTATTTTATTATATGTAATTAGTTTCTTAAATTATTTTTATTAAATTGATTAGATAACCAAATATTAATAATTTTTACTCTTTTATAAGTTTTAACAAAATTTATTTTTATTAAATTCAAAAATTTTATCAGTCGATAAATTCCATACATACTATGTATGGGAAGAGAGTGAAGAAAGAAAAGAAGGTGAGAACCTGCTCTGATACCAAGTTATAAATCACACCTGCAATAATCTGAATTAATAGAAAAGAAACATGAGAAAAGAAGGAGATTGAAGAGAGAGAAGTGATAGGGGAAGATGGAAGAAAATGAGGAAGAGAGAGTAGTTCAAAACCTCTCTTTAGCCCCTATGATCTCTTTTATTCCTTTTGTTGTAAAAAATAAGGACAATTACATGAGTTCTCTTAGTAGGGCGTCCATCACTAAAGACAACAACAAAAAACAATAGAAAAAGAGAAAATAGGTCCATAACTAAGGCCCACTACCTACTAACACAAGTCATAAACATAACATAAAAGGAGAAACAAAGAAACTAAGGCTCCATTTGGTTTGTGGGATGGGGATGAGAAAAAGGGAATATTCCAAAAATATTCCTTTTTCTCTCATTTGTTTTGAGGGAAATGGAGGGATGGGATGAGAAAAATGTGGGATGCCAGATTCCAAAATCATGGTGAGAAACCACTGTAGAGAACCAACGACGACGAATAGAGGAGGGAGAGAACCAATGCCTTCTCCGTTACCATTGGCAATTTGCTACCTCCCCTTCCCCGTTCGAACCTAGAAACAGAGCAGTAGCGGCAGCACCCCCTCTCAGCCACTCCCTTCCTCCCTCTCTCCCCTCTTCTTCTCTTTCTTCTTCTTCTTCTTCCGTTTTTCACCCAAAAAAAGCATTGTTCATCGTCTTCTCGACAAAGAACACAGGAAATACCAGCGGCGGTGACCAGGATCATCTCCATTCATCATCTTCGCTTTCCGCCGGCGAATTACTGTCTCCGGTGGCACTATTTGCTTTCCAATGGTGACCAGCGGCACTGTTCTTCGTCTTCGCTTTCCTCTCGTCACAATGCTTTTCTCATTGTTTTCCCATATATAAAACCAAACAATGGAAGAGTAAATTTTTACACTTTCCCATCCCATCCCATCTTTTCCCATCTCACCCAAATCTTTCCACAAACCAAACGGTGCCTAAGGGCTATTCGGCCCATTATCTCTACAATATCTTTTGTAGTCAGTGTAGTAAATCATTTTATGCAGAACCCTTGGATTCCACATTGGGATGCAGTTTTAAGGATTGTCCGGTACTTGAAGGGAGTTCAAGGTCGTGGTTTGTTATATAAGAGTGGATGAAGTCTTAAGATAGAGGGCCACACAGATGCTGATTGGGCTGGTTCAATATCTGACAAGAGGGGTCCACTATAGGGTATTATACCTTTCTTGGAGGCAATTTGGTGACATGGAAGAGTAAGAAGTAGATTGTGGTAGCAAGAAACAATGTGGAAGCTAAATATAGAGCCATGTTACACACTACACGTGAACTAGTATGGTTGAAGAATATTTTACAAGAGATGGGATATACAATTGATAGCCCCACGAAGCTTTATTGTGACAACTAAGCTGTAGTCAACTTTTCATCTAATCCAGTTTTCCATGAGAGAACAAAGCATATAGAAGTTGATTGTCACTTTGTGAGAGAAAAGGTGCTCAGTGGAGTAATAAGTACTGGACATATAAACAATGGGCAGACCTGTTCGTTAATGGGTTGGCAACGGAGGTGTTTAAAAATCAGAATTTGAGTCTGTTGTTTAGATCTCAGAACTGGTTGTATCTGTAATTTGTGGTGGCTCTAGGCAGCCTCTAATGGCCTAGGCTCCTTTGTAATGGTTCTTGTTTTAATAAATTACCTTACCTTTTCAAAAAAAAAAAAAAAAAAAAACATTTGTAACAACCTGGGACTATATGGTATATACTCACCAGCTTGAGGGGGAGTGTTAGAGTCGGGTATACAGGGCTAGTTTGGTCATTTCAATTTATATTAGTAGTGTGGTGTAATGCCTTTTATGTTTAGGCTTAAGTACTATGTTCCATACTTAATTATGGGCATAAGCATCTTTGTATCTGATATCTGGCTGACTAGAGAAAGTGATATTTTCTTCTGCTAATCTAGGGCTGAAACTAGTACAGATCAGTTTTGTAACAGGGTCAAAAGGTGTACTAAGTTACTAACTTCTTTTCTGATGCTCTAGCCAAACAGGATGTGGGAAGGGCTCAGTCTTTGTGGGTTTGCTTGTAATTTTATGCTTTTTGGGGAGGGCTAAGAGAGTTTACCTCTCCCCTTGGATGTTATAATTGTTTATCCATTTCTTTAGTATAAAGTTTTTGTTATTGATAGAAAAATTTTGGGATTTGGTAAGGGAACTAGCAGATAAAAGGTTTTTGTGCAACTGTGGAACATGAAGAATAGAGCTTAGGGAAAGATTACGAGTAATCTTAACTTCACCCATACCAGAAATTGGAGTGTAAAATTCATTAGCTACAGTGATATTATCTTTCCCTGGAGCCAGTTTATAAGAGGTAAAGTGGGAAGGCGTACCAGTCATGTGAGTACTAGCTCTAAAGTCCACAGTCTAGGAGCTAGGAGATGAGGATTGACAAGAAAGACCAGTACCTGATTAGCAAAAGCACTGGAAAGATTACTATAGCCCATAGAGTTAAAGGACCCAATTTTCTCAAGCTGAGTCTATAGGCTCCTGAGCTTCTCCATCACATCAGAGGAATCATGTAAAGGAGCTTGAACACAAGGGGACAGACAATCAACTCCCCTAATAGCAAGATGAGCATTTCCTTTCTTAGCTGTTTTAAACTTCGCAAGCTTCAAATGGGGATTCAAATTCCAGCATTGGTCCTTAGTGTGTTTTGGTTTCTTATAGTACTCGCACACCACTTCATCAGTCTTCTCATTTACACCCCATCCATTAACACTTTGTGTAGGTTTAGCAGAATGTTTGCCAACTTCAATCTGTATTGTGGCATCCCTCCTATTCTCCTCTCTTTGCACCAAGGAGTATGCCGTGGCAAGAAAAACAATATCCGTACTCAAGATGTGCTGCTGAGGAAAATTATACTTCGCATTCAAACTGCCAAGAAGTAAAAAATTTTGTTCTTCTCAACATATTTTCTGTAATTTTCACCATCCTCAGGATTCTTCCATTCCATGGCCTCCAAATATTCCATTTCTTCCTAGAGAGACTGTAAGGAAGAGAAGTACATAGCCATTGTCCTCTCCCCCTAATGCATATTGCAAGCTTCCCTTCGGAGTTGGTAGACCCGAGCAATGTTCCTTTCCTAGGAATACGTAGCATTAACATGATCCCAAATGTCCTTGGCAATGGAAAGAACATGTAGTTACGGGCTATATGTGACTTCATCGAATAGACCAATCATGACATGACTAGAGAATTATCTTGTTCCAACTTGGCAAACTTGGAATAATCAGATTTTGGCTAATTGGCTTCACTTTTTTGCTTGTAATGAACCCTAGATTACCTTTTCCTTCGACGGTAAGCTTGACAAACCGGACCACTCTAGAAAGTTGGTTCCATCAAGTTTTACAGTGGGTTATCATACCACTAGAAGTATCTACATTACATGAGAACACTCCATAAATAGTCCGTACTTAGATGATTCTATCTGTCTTGGTCAAGCTACACAACAGCCCTACAACACTCCAATATCCAACCAGTACATACTAGGCCCATTAACATAGGTCAACACATTGTTGGAAGCCAACAGAAAGTCAAAGCTGAAGTTGGAGGCAATCTATGTGGACAATAAAATCTCCCAAAAATTAACCATGGTTCAGAAAAATATAAAACCATACATCGAATGTATATTTTTCTGTTATTTCTGATTTGAAAATCTATGAAAAATCAAGGAAGCACCAAATGGCGATGAGAATCATACCAAAAACTCCCTTAAAACAGGGCACACAAAACTCAACCAGTTTCAAGGGTTGTCGCTGGTATTTGTACGGATTGCTGGCATCATCCAGTGGCGGTTTGACATCAGCAATTCTGCCTAGATTCAGGGGTCAACAAAGGAAACTCTTCCAAGATCCCTTCCTGCTTTGATGCCAAGTTGTCAAGTAATAGGGAGGAAGAGAAGTAAAGAGGAGAAGAAGTCTTTGTAAGAGTAGAGTGAGTTACTGTTCACAACCCAAAAAGTGATTTTTATACTATTTGCATAAAGTTAAATAAATGCCCTTGAATGGGCACCCAAATACAAAAAAAAAACATTAAAAGACCAAAAAGCCCCTGCTCACAATACATAGTCTCAATAGTCTATATGGAGCCACCTTTTGGTGTATCTGTTCCTGGAAGCAAGGTTTAAAATGTCGATGTCGATGGAAATGTCGCTTACCAAAATATAGGATATATGTCGGAAATGTTATGGGAAATATTGTAAAAATTAGAGACATTGTGGAAATGTTATGAAATATGTGGAAATATGCAAAGATATTTTGTAAAATGATAAAAGAAGCATGAACACATATTTCTAGACTATTATCTTATTCCCAACCATTATATAAAGCTAAGAAACTAAGATCAATAACAAATTAGTAAATGATGATTTATTGATTTATTATGCATTTTGATGTTTTTACAAGGTTATCTGATATTTTCTTTTCTTATTTTTAATTCTGATTTATTATAAATTCTAATGTATTTATTTCACACTAGTAAATAGAAATACATTTATTCTGATTTTTTAAATATTAAAGTTATAATATATTATGCTTTATTATAAATTTAATAAACTGATTCTCCTTTTTGTAGTATTAAGATTATGATAAATTCTGATTTCTTATAAAAATTAATGAATTTATTATGATTTTTAGTACTAAATTTATACTAAATTATGATTTAGTATAAAATTTATTAAATTTATTCTGATTTTTTATATTAAATGTAGAATATGATTTATTATAAAATTTAATAAACATTTTCTGATTTTAATAAATATTTTTAAAAATACTAACTAGTTAATATTTTATTACTTGAAAAATATTTTATGTTTTATATTATAAAGTAATTAATTTATTCTTTTGTTTTTATATTTTGTTAATTCTTTTTTATAAATATTTTGTTTGAAATATTAAATAGAAATTATTAATGGAAATATTATTAATGTACATTAGTCGACATCTTGTTGAAATTAGTTGACATCCCGTCGACATAATAGGAAAAACTGCATTTTTTTTTGTTATTTGGACCGATTTTGTCGACATTTCCGAAATATAGGAAATGTTGACCGGAATAATGTAATTTTTATATTACCATCCATTTTCATGTCGGTGAGCCTCGACATCGACATATGTCGGGCGACATTTGAAACCATGCCTGGAAGTGAAAGTAAAGTGTGTAGACTTGAGAAGTCAATTTATGGCTTGAAGCCATCACCCCAGGAATGATGGTACTGTGCAGAATTTTCTTGACTTTACACATGCTTTTTTAACTTGTGTCATTATCTAACCTAGATATCTGTTTGATTGTTTTCTTCGTTGAAAGCTTATTGACTACTTTTTTCCCAGAAACAAAGATACTATTTAGAGTGTGTACTCCTAGATGTTCGTTTGTTGATGATTAATCTGTTTTTTTTTTTTTTAATTTATAATGCATTGATTCTGGATATTCTTACTTTTCTATTTCCATAGGCATCTCTTCTCCATTTCTTTTTGATCACTACCTTTTTTTTTGTTATTTTGTTGAGCAGATGATTTATGTTTTGTCAGTTTACAATAAGAAGAAGGGCCAGCGGATTATGGTATGTGATATTTGCTTTCTCTTTGTGAAATCCTATCAAGTTCTTTGTCCTCTATTTTACCTTTTGTGTAATTGCATGCTATTACTTGTCGTAATTTCTGTTATCAGCCTTTGTTTACTGAACACTCAAATAGGTTGCCATAGACTATGAGATGGTCATATGCTGGAGTTAGCCAACCTTACCAAATTAAAGCCGAAGAAGACCACGGAGTTTTTTGGTCGTGGCCACAATTTTTATTTATTGGCACAATTAGAAGTTAAGACTTTATTAAATCATGAAAGAATGAGTTATATACAGTAGGGTACATGCCCAGAAGTATAGGCTGGCAAAAAAGCATTCTAACCTATTTTGCTTTTTACAATGCAATTGAGCCCAAGAAGCTTTCATTGTTACCCAATCTTTGCAGTCATGAAAACTATCAGAAGAATAAACTGTCAATAAATGACTGATATCTTGAATTAATCACATTACTATCACTGCCTGTCACCACAATATCATCAACATATACAACCAGGAGAGTTAAGGCTGAACTTGCTTTCTTGAAAAAGAGAGTGTGATCAGATTGATCTTGTACATAGCCAAATTTCTCCAAGGAATGTCTAAACCTGTTAAACTATGCCCTTGGAGACTGTTTCAAGCCATACAAGGCCTTCTTCAATCGGTAGAATTTTCCACTGTCTTCATTATAGAAGCTTGGGGGAAACTCCATATATAGTTCTTGTAGATCACCGTTTAGGAAAACATTTTTAACATCCATCTGGAACAACGAGCATGAGAAGTTTGCAACAAGAGACAACAACACTCTGATTGTGTTCATTTTGGCAACTGTTTCAAAGGTTTCTACATAATCAATACCATAAGTCTCTGTGTATCCCTTAGCAATCACCAGTCAAGCTTTGTATCTTTCAATTGAGCCATTTGCATTATACTTCACTGTAAATATCCACTTGCACCTAACCGGGTTCTTTCCTCTTGGTTGATCTACTAGCTCCCAAGTATCATTTTTGATAAGTACATCTATCTCAACTTTCATTGCTCCCTTCTACTCAAGTACTACCAGGGCTTCTGCACAGTCCTAAGAATGGGTACAGAAGCAATGGACACCAAAAAGGACTTGTATGATGGTGAGAGATGGTCATAAGAAAGAAACTAAGAGATGCAATGGATAGTAGATGAGGTGCAACGACGCTTTCCTTTGTGTATTGAAATAGGAAGGTCAAGATCATCTATGCGAAGGTGAGGTTCAATGGTAGTGGTAGGCATACCATTTGCAATAGTTGTGGGTACAAAGGGTGAAATACCTAAGTCTAGTGCCACAAAGGAGACCGGAAGTGGCTTGGACTGTTTATTACTAGAACCAACTTGCTTCCACCATCGTTTGTGGAACACTCTCAACTCTCTACTTCTAACAGCCCCCCTCACTAACACTTCCCTTCATTGACAGGAATAGGCAATGGAACTTCCTAAGCAAAAACACCCTGCTCACCACTCTCCCCCTGAGGTGAAGTCCTAGAGTAGTAAGGGCCATCCTCAAAGAATGTAACATCCATATGCACAAACCTAGTTCCAGGGAAAATGATCATAACAACAATACCCCTTTTGATTTTGTGCATACCCAAGAAAAATACACTTGGCTACCTTAAGATCAAATTTAGAATGTTGAAACCCAAGGATTTGAACAAAGCAAGTGCATCCAAAGGTCTTAAGGGGAATAGTGCACTGGTCCTTATCAGGGTACAATAGGTTAAAAGGAGCTTTTATGTCTAAAACCAGTGAAAGAACTTTGTTGATAAGGTAGATAGTTGTGTGGATGGAATCCCCCCAGAATCGAATAGGAACATTAGAATTTAGCATGATGCTCCTAACAATTTCAAGAATGTGTCTACTCTTTCTCTCGGCTATTCCATTCTGCTGAGGTGTATGAGGACAGGTACTCTGATGGATAACCCCATACTCAAGTAGATATGAGGCCAAGGGTTTTGCAAAATACTCCTTGGCATTATCAAATTTGAGATTTTGTTTTTTACTCCAAAGTGAGTTAAAACCATCTGGTGGGATGCATGGATCAGAGTAGGTTTTCTTCATATTCTCGCATATTTCCTTAGTAGTCTTCACCCATAAGTAATTTCTATTGATGTGTGGCTACATAGAGTTGCACAACCAAGCCATCACTAGATAGTTTTCCTAAACCCATTTAGCATAAGTCGAGTCTTCCTTTGCTTGTTGCTTTGTGTCTCCAGTTATATATTCAAGCTTCCCCCTTCCCCCAATAGCCACCATAGCTGATTGGGCCCATTCTAGGTAATTTGTGCCATCAAATTTATAGAAGTAATCCAAAAGGTATTATTTGACATACTCCCAGACCCCATAGATCATTCTCTAAAGGATTTTGGTTCCTTCTCAACTATCTCCATACTAATCACACCACCAAGACCTCACAAATACTTAAGAAGGTAACTGAAACCATGGTTTTCAAAACCAGACCAGACCGGACGATCGGACCAGAAAAACCAGGAAGTGGTCAGGTGACCGGTTCCATTTTACCCCAAAACCGTTGATTTGGTCAGCAAACCGCTGACTCGGGCGTTCGAACCGTCCAAATCGTTCTAACCGTCCAATGGTTTTGGCTGTTTTTAACTTTTAAATTTTTTTAATTTTAAATTTTTTTGTCAGAGTGGACCGTCCGTTCGGTTCAAATGGTCGGACTGTTCAACCCGGGAACCGGACCCCTGACCAGTTCATTGTCCAGTTCGGTTTTAAAAACCTTGACTGAAACAGAGCTTATGCAGTAATCCAATACTCCCTTAACAGTCCATAGTGAAACCAGAACAGTCGAAGTAAATGGGATGTCAAAAAACTAGAACTGACCTGTTCTCAGTAGAAACCCTAGAACCAACCTAGGGAGAAAACCAAAAAGACTCAGCCGCTCCTTCCCGAAGATCCCAATCACTTTCTACAAGCTGTCAATCTCTGAAAAGAACTATTCCCTACTCAGAAACCACTGAGTGTCAGTACCAATTGAAGGTTTAGCCCCTAAACCTTAATCTGATCCAAAGAACTCTGATTCTTCCTGGTTATTGGTGATCCCCAAGATTGCAGATCTTGGGCAGCAAAAATTTCTCCAACAAACCTCCATGAATCAGGAAAAACAGATTGAAGTATCTAGCCCTAATACATCCTCATGTATCCGGCTGGAAGAAGCCTACATGGGAACCCTAGCAAGCCCTAAACCTTGCTCTGATACCAAGATGGCTGGTGCTGTTCACAGTCAGCCAGTATTCTGGTGCAGATTCAGCAAGAAAACCAAGGAAAAATGAAGAGAAAAACTAGAAGAAAGAAGAGAGTAGGAGAAGAGAAGAAGAATGAGAAGAGAAAGGGAGCAGATCAAATCAGTTTCTTCCAACCAGATTTAATATTTATATGTTTTTATCATAAAAGATCTACAATGACATCTATGCCCCTGCCGCCCAAAACACTCCTTAACAGACAATAGCAGCAACAATAACAACAGCTAAAGCAGGCCCAGAAAGACTAATAACAAGGCCCAAAAAGACCAATAACAGGTAACTAATATGGCAAGGATTTCACTAATTTACTAGACTGTTACTACACAGGATTAACAACCTGTTTTCCCCTTATTTTGATTTTGTTGTAGGTGATCAACTGTATGTAACTGTACTGTTTAGATTTGCTTTCATCTATGGGTTTTTTGCTCTTTAATGTCAGATTTATCCTTGTTTCAGATGGCAGCATTTAACATCCAGGAGGCACTGATGTGGAAGGAAAAAATTCAGCATGTCATTGATCAGGTTCTCCATTCTTCAAGGGTGACAATACAATGTGCTATCTTCCTACATAGATTTTCTAGCATTTTCATTTGAAACATCTACTATTTACTGGTGGATGTATTCAATACTATTCATTGGCATTTCGTACTCTTATTGTGATTTTTGGACAGCAATATTCCTCCACCAACCATTTATGTATTTCTTAATCTTCACTTATACAATTGCAAATATGCACTTTTTTTAAGGACTGATTGTATATTCATCCACTGCAGCATCAAGAGTCACTGAATGTTAATAGTCACAAATCAACCTTGTTATTTGAATATAAATCTGGCATTGATGATGGAAGGGCTGTTTCCTCATCTGACAATGAAAGTCAGTAAGTTGCAATTACCTTATCTTGCATTCTTTTTTTTTTTTTTCTTTTCTCTTGGTAAGTAATAGAAAATTTTATTAATTAATCAACAACAAAGTAATATACATTCAGGGCATCCCAACCAAAGGCGTGAGATGCAGCCTTGATTGCATAAGATATATTACAATTGAGCCCAATACATATGATCCCTAGTCCCCTTGCTTAGCTAAATAGTTTGCCATCCCCTTTTCTGATATCCTTTCCTATTGAATCCTTGCAACTCTATTTGTAGTCAGCCACTTAATTGTCTTGAAAACCTCTCCAGTCCATATTACCATGTCTGGCTCCTTCAATCAAGTGACCACCAACTTTGAATCCCCTTCATTGAGAAGTTTGTCAACATTCAAATCTCTAGCAACCTGTACCCCTTGTAACACAGCTTGGAACTCAGCATTGGTGGAGTCCCCTACTCCGGTTGGACCTGAGTATAAAACAATAATATGTCCATCTTTGTTTCTGAATACTTTCCCTATTCCCTAAGGTTCCAGGTTACACAGCTTCCATCAAGATTGAGTTTTATAAAAACTTCTTCAGATGGTACCCTCACTGAGAGAGCCTTTTTCTTGTTGAATGGACTCTTTACTACAGATTCCCAGTTCCTCCAAATATCATCAAAAGAAAAATGGGAAAAGATATCCATGGTTTTAACCCAATGTATAACCTTGTTCACAATAAACTCCAACGTTGCACCCTCATTTGTTTCCTTAACGAAAATTCTTGCATTTCTCTCCTCCCAAATCATCTAGGTCAATGCATCCTTGACACACCTCCATATGATTCTACCCCTCCTCGTAGGCTATACAAAGGTCACAGGGTCAAATAAGCTACTAATCTGCAATGGAAAAGTCCACCTACACCCAAATGGAGAAAAGAAATCTCTCTCTAGTACCTGCAATAGAAGGACAGGAGATTAGTAGGTTGTAACAACTCTTACTGTTATATTTTCAGAGGATACACCAGTTTGGGGAAATGTGCAAAAAGGGTTTTCCTTTTTGCAAATTATCCAATGTATTTATCATCCCATAGTAAATTTCCCAACAAAAAGCTCCAATCTTATATTTGCAGTGTTGATTACTGAATTCTGCTTCATTAAACTTCCAATATCATTGTTTGGTTCAGTTTTCTATTCATATAACTGTCAAATGGCTTTTGGCTTGGTATATGTCTCTTGTACTCTTATGTCTGATATGGCATAATCATATATTTCTGTTTTCCATCAATACCACATTTTTTATGTTTACTTCAATTCCTCTCTCTCTATCTCTCTGTGCGGTGGTTTCTATAACTATCTAAATGCCATTACCATAACTTGGTCCCAGTGGTCTGAAGTCTTGGGAGGGGTGGATTGGATATGGATGTAACGCCCAGCATTTTAACATTAACTAAATGCTGAGACTGAAACCCACATTTTCATGCTTGTCACTCTGAGGTTAAATACCATTTGACCATGATATGACCCTGGATGCTGTAGCTATCCTGTTGGTTAAAAAGAGTGCTCTAGCTATCCTGATTTCTGAACGTTACTCTTATTTTGTGTGGATATTGACTTGTAATTTTGTATTCATCATTCAGGCACTGTTTCCACACGTGAATTAATGATGTGATTATAATTTTATGCTTCTATTTCCTTCATTGTATGCATTTGTTCATCACTCATGATATTTTTCACTAGTGGATTAAAAAAATAAAGATCCTCACCATTCTTTAATGACCTTATTATTTGTTTCTGCAGAACAACCATTTTGTTTTTTATATCCTTTTGCTTGCATTATGCTTAGACTTGCAACTTTCATTTTCTGAAAAAAAAAAAACTTAGGTTCAGTGCACAGGAAGATGAAGCAGAGAGCCGCCAAACTTTATTTCAGAGAAGAGCAATAAGAAATGGTAATTTGGGATTTACCTATTTTTACAAGATTTTATAGCCATGAAATTGTTTGGTGGAGTTCAACCAGAGCATTGTTATTTGTTCAACTTGCAGGTGCTCCTGATTCCATATTTGATTGGGCCAGAGAATTTGGTTCAGAATTGTCAAATAAAAATACCTGTAATAAAGTTTTCTCTGCAAAGCATTGGCATCTTGTCAAATGCCAGAATGGTGACTTTCCACTTATGAACTTTCTTTTTTGTTTATCCATATTCATACTTATCATGACTATCTAGTTAATTAGTAATTGGAAGTTTTAGGGTATTAAAGTCTTGGATTTGTTAAAATATTGCCAGTAAATAGTTAATGATATTTTTTTGGAAATATGCAGGACTTCGCATTTTTGAGGAGTTGCTTGAAGTTGATTATCTTGTATGGTTCATAATTACTCTTATTTATATAGTATGATTTTACTGTATATTAGATTCCACTGATTTTTAAGTGATGAATATCATGGATATTGTATTACTTGTAGCCAAGGAGCTGTGGCAGAGCAATGAAAGCTGTGGGTGTGGTGGAAGCTACATGTGAAGAAATATTTCAGCTTATAATGAGCATGGATGGAAGACGGTTTGAGTGAGTATTTCTCAGAGTCTATTTACAAAACTCATTTTTGTGGTAAAATTTATTATATTAAACAAAATCTATCTAATGGTTGTGATGGATTTTATTCAATACTTCAACTTTAGGTCATTGGATTATTATCAATTTCAATCTGAAACTTCTCACATAGTTTATGCAGATTATCTTTTTCCATGGTATTTGTGATAGATTTAAATTTCTGTATGGTTAGTGTCTTATTATTGTTTATTGTCTAAGGTTGTTTTCAAATTATACACAGGGCAAAAATTGTCTAAAGGCATTAACTTAAAAAGAATTGTCATGCAGTGGTGGATTTAAAATAGTTATCAAATAATGACCAGATGATCAAATAGTCAAAATTACCTTTTTTTCTTCATTTTAATGTTTTCATAAATGTCGGGGAAATACCAATATAATCATACTATTATTGACGAACAAGAACAAAACAGAAGAATCCCTGTGGTTATCACGAACAAGAATAGAAAAAACATGCAGCCTAATTGGATGTCTCCAATCTTGGTTGTGAGGGAAGTATTGATAGACCAGTCTTTGCTTTTCTTTTCCTTTTGTCAATCTTTTCTATTCATCATCAAACCAACAAGTCCAACTTCTACACTTGTTTGACAATGCTGGGCATGCCACACATAAAGTTTGTACAAGAGTGCTCAACAAGTTTATGGTGAAAAACAGAATCAATCGGCCCCACCCTAGAGAGTCAGAATATATTTATATGAAATATGTATATTTATGGAAAGGCCCTTGTGGGGAAAAGAAGAGAAAATAAGAGAGAAAGAATTAACAAGATAGCGTACAACAAGGACTATAGTAATAAGGTACAACATCAGGATTCTTCACACTCCCCCTCAAACTGATGTGAGTGCATTAGCATCAGTTTGCCCATAAGAAATAGATGTCTGGATCTCATCATGGCCTTGGTCAGCAATCTGCATCTCTGAGGCCACATGAGGAAGAGAGATAGAGCCAACAAGAAACAAGTCTCGAATAAAGTGGCAATCCACCTCAATGTGCTTCATCCTTCAATGAAAGACAAGGTTAGAAGTAATCTATAGCATGGTATTGTCTACATGTAGAGGGATAGGTGTAGAGATAGGATGGCCAATGTCTTTAAGTAGTGATTTAAGGCAAATAATTTCACTGCACACCAATGACATTGCCCTGTATTTATCTTCTGTGGAGGACTTGGAGACAATTCGTTGTTTCTTCCATTTCCATAAGATAAGAGAATCATACATGAAAACATACCATTCAGTAGTGGAGTGACGAATGTTGGGACAACTTGCCCAATCAACATCAGCATAGTCCCTCAAATGGATAGGAGAGGATGGGGAGAAGAATAGTACTTGTGATAAAGTGCTACGAACATAGCGGATAATCCAATGCACAACAGTTAGATGGGTTAACGAGGAGCAGAGACAAACTGACTGACAACCTAAACCGCATGAGAGATGTCAGGTCGAGTCATAGTAAAATAGATAAGGGACTCCACAAGTTGATGATAGATGGAGGCATCAGTGAGTAAGGGACCTTCTGACTTGGACAATTTAACATTCAGCTCCAAGAGAGTATCAACCTGCTTATGTAACCTCTTTGGTGAATTAATGAAATTGTTATTGATAAAAAAAAGTATCAACCTGCTTATTATTAGTAAGGCCGGACAACTTGACAAGATCTGAAGCATATTTGTGTTGGCAAATGAAATATCCCCAATGATTTCTTTGGACTTCAAGTCCTAGGAAATAAGTGAGAGAACCCAAGTCCTTCATGTGAAAGAATCTATAAGGCAGAGACTTGAGGTCTTGAATTCCTTCCATATCATCTGTGGTCAACATGATGTCATCCACATACAAGAGGAGAATTATAATACCTTGAGGCCTTTTTCCAAACAAAGAGAGAATGATTAGAATCATTCTGACTATACCCGACATCCACAACATCTCTGAATTTCTCAAACCATGCACGAGGGGCCTATTTCAGCCCATAGAGAGATTTCTTCAAAACACAAACAAGAGATGGATCACTACCATACCCCGGAGGGGGTTTCATGTACACTGTTTCCTTTAAATGTCCATGTAGAAAGATATTTTTCACATCCAATTGATAGATAGGCTAAGAGTGCACAACAGAGAGGGCTAAAAGAACGCCAACTATAGTGACCTTGGCAACCAGAGCAAACGTCTCCTAATAATCAATGCCATACTCTTATATATAACTCTGAGCCACAAGACGGGCTTTGTATCGATCTAAGGAGCCATCAGATTTCAACTTGATAGAATAAATTCACTTGCTCCCAATAAGAGAGCCATTAGAAGGAGCTTGGACAAGGTCCCAAGTGTCATTCTCATGCAAGGTTTAAATCTCTACATCCATGGCATCTTTCCAGTAGGGACTACTAATGGCTTGCTGGTAAGAATGAAGAATATCTATGGAAGACAAGACAACAAAAAAGGAACTATGATTTGAAGGGAAACCATAACGATCAAGTGGTCTAGAAACATGGGTAGAGGAAGAAGGGGTCATAGGAGTAGGTGTCGAATCACGAAATCGCTTGTAGGAGAGGACGAAAAGATCCTTCACAACCGTTGAAGGTGGAGCATCCTATGAATCAAAGTCGTACAAAATAGAAAGAACAGGTGCGGATAACTTGGCTACTCCTAAAAAAGGAAATATGCTCAAGAAAATAGCATTCCGAGAAATACGAATGCAGCGGATTGCCATTCCGAGAAAATGGCAAAAAAAAAATCCTTTGTAGTTGGGACTATACCCCAGAAAGGCACGCATAATTGATTGAGCGGAGAGTTTAAAACATTCCCGAGAGGGAAGATGTACAAAACATAAGCACTCAAAAACATGAAGGTTGGAGAGATTGGGAGGACAACCAAACAGTTTTTGATGAGGAGACAATTTAACCAGAACAGATGAAGGAACACAATTAATTAAATACACAACCGTACTAGCTGCCTCAAATCAAAATGAAGATGGGGCATGTAACTCTTGAAGAAGAGTTTTCAAAACACTGAGAATGTGCCATTCTTATGTTTTGCCACACCATTTTGCTGAGTGTCTGGACAACTCCATTGAACTTGTATTCCAAGATTTCTTAGGTAGGACAAAAATTCACCATCATTGTATTCTCCCCTTGAGTCCAAGCATAGGATACGAATATTAGATTGAAACCAAATTTGAACCATAGCATGAAACAACGGAAAGGTTGGGAAAACTTCTGACTTATGTCTGAGGAAGTAGATCCAAGTGTACTTGGTGTAGTCATCAATGAACAATACAAAATACTTGTATCCCAATCATGAAACAACAGAGGAAGTCCATACATCACTATGTATAATTTCAAAAGGTGAAGTAGCATGTTCAGCTTTGTGAGGAAATGACAAAGTATGACTCTTACTCAAACAACAAGTAACACAAGATGTATCAAAAGACTACAAGGAGGGAATCCTATTTCTAATGAAATCAAAGTCAAACAAAAATTTAATTTTTTTGGAGTTTGGGTGATCCAAATGTTCATGCCATAAATCCCAAATGTTATTTCTTTGACCCAAACCAGAATTCAATGAAGAACTAAAATAAGCAGATGATTATGCTGATTGAGATCCTTCGAATTCTAGTGCAAACAAGTGACCCAGTCTATGCCCCTTCCCTTTAACCTTCCCAGTGCATTGGTCCTCAATTAAACAACCATTAGAAGAAAATGTTAGAATGTGACCTTCATCAACCAATTGACCAACTAAAATAAGGTTAGTGGTAAGTTTGGGAACAAAGAAAGTTTTGGTAAGGGAAAGGGAAGTCGAAGGTGAGAGCTTCAAACACAAATCATTACTCCCAATGATATTTAGTTTCTTGCCAGTGGCAGTAACAATATGCTTATGATGGGTGTCTGAAGATTTATTTGATGGTTCATGGTAGGCTCCAGTCATATGATTGATAGCTCCAGAATCAATTATCTAAACATGAGAGGAAGTGGAACAATAACCAAAGAGCTCACCAAATAAGCCAATAGCAAAAAATGCAGATGAGATAGTAGAGGATACCAGTTCTTGTATCTTTTCTCTGTTCATGGGAGCAAAAGATTCACCTTTAACATTGGGAACATCGGTCATCTGTCCTTCAGATACCTGGTAAGTCTGTGGCTGATTCTTCTTAATATTACCTTTGGAGGGACGGACAGAACAATATGGAATGATATAACCATGTTGCTGATAGCATATGCAAACATTCTTCTTGTTGCAGTGTGAAGCAAATGTTCAAAACCTTTGCATTCATAACATTGGGTCTTAGACATATCCTTTCCACCAGATTTCTTACTCCCTTGTGCAATAAAAATTGTCTCAGCCCCAAATTCAAGTTGCTTCCCTTCCAGATTTGCAATAGTCATAAGTCTAGTCTCCTCTCTCAGCAATTCTCCCAATCCCAGAATCTAAATTTGGTAGTGTACCCCTACTAGATTATTGGACAGATAATTTCATATTCAGGTCTCAGTCTCATGAGGAAATGGTTCACCTTCTTCTTCTCAAAGTGCTTCTGTAGATACTTAACACACTTTGCTGAATTAGATGGCTCAATGTAAACTAATTCATATTCTGCCCACAAGTCAAGAAACCCTGCATAATATTCCTGTATCTTTTTATCTCCCTGGCAATAGGTAAATATTTCAGATTCAATTTGGTATTGTCTTGACATATTGGACTAATGATAGACCTTCTTCAGATAAGAATACATTTCATAGGCTGTTTGCATTCTCCTCATAGGAATAGCAATGTGAGAAACAACAGAGCTGAGAATCCAGGAGACAATTTTTCCATTCTCAAGTTTCCCTTGTGTAAATGCTTTAGTGTCTGATTCATCAGGTTTATTAACAGCCCCCCTTTTAAGTATCCTTCAAGCCCTTTTCCTTCAAAAAAGAAGTCAAAAAGTGAAGTAACAGTCCTGATAATTAGTTTCAAGGTTTGTTAATCTCTATACCTGATCCAGAGATTATGCAAATGCTGGAATCAATATCCCAGCAATCAACCAAGAGAATCTCTCAGAAGAGGAACCCTTGACAGCAACGCCGAAGCAAACAATATGGAGAAATAGCAGAGAGATCAGGTCCAGCAGATATGTATACTCATTCACCTCAGTTATACAGTCCACAGAGATATGTCAAACTTTGGAGGATCAAAATCCTTCAAAGAAAATGCCAAAACAGATCCAACCCGATAGTTCTCAGTGGTAATAGTCCAAGCCAGCAGTGTTTCAGGACTGTTGAACTGGAGAGAAAAGAAATACTCTCCAGAACTGATACAAATGCAATTTAGTAGTTTATGCCTTTATGGAGTGAGAATACCCTAGGGTGACACCAAAACTAGGGTTCAAGAAAAAAATGGATAGCCTATTGAGCAGAAAAGTCAGATTCACCAACCTGATGTGCAGATTTCTAGAAACTTCTGTCCAAGAGAGGAGAGATCAGAACTCCCCAAATACTTGTCCAATCACGATGAGATTTTCTGAGTAGGTAAAGCAGGTCTGGGTGACACACCAGTTACAATTTCCCTTTGAACATATGTTTTCCCAAAGAGTTCTATGAAAATCTCCCTTGCTGAAACCACAGACAGATAACCAGGATTGGGGTTGACTGAAACAACTCTAGATTCAGTCGATGAGTCCAGAAACCAGTAAGATTTGAGAGGTTAACGAGTGAACATGGAGTAGACAGTCTATGGAGTAACCTGCTCCGATACCATGTCACACACACATTCAGTTCATGCAAAAGAGTTCAACAAGTTTAGGGTGAAAAACAGAATCAATCGACCCCACCCTAGAGAGTCAGAATATATTTCTATGAAATATGCATATTTACAGAAAGGCCCTTGTGGAGCAAAGAAGAGAAAATAAGAGAGAAAGAATTCACAAGATAGTGTACGACAAGGACTATAGTAATAAGGTACAATATCAGGATTCTTCACACTTGTTTGACAATGTTGGACAAATGGATAATCTCAATCAGGTCACTGGGATACCCTTCCACAACTATGTGGTTATCTTGAGCCCCTAGGTATCACTAGGCTTTGAAATTCATGAAAACTACTGCTTTTGTAATGTTGTTAGCATTGCATTTGCTAAGTGACCATCCCTAGGACTTGAAATCCATGAAAATAAAAGGGTTGTTGAAATCCTGGGGGCAGGCTACCCTCATCTCTTTTTTTCTTTCCAATAAAAACTGGACTTAAAATAAAAGGGTGGATGTTGATTTTTTATGGTTGACTTGAAAAAAGGTATCTAAATACTGTTAGTTTGTACTATTTTATCATGTTGGCATATATCTCTTTCTTTCTGCCCTGTTTTGCAGGTGGGACTGTAGTTTCCAGTATGGTAGCTTAGTTGAGGAAGTAGATGGACACACAGCAGTGATTTATCACAGACTGCAGCTAGATTGGTTCCCAATGTAATATGCTCTACCAATCTAGATTAACTATTTTGTCCCTGGCTTGCATTTATTCTCTTGTCTCTTTTGATGATTATGCATAGATAATTTTCTTGTATATGAGTTAATTCTTCTTTGTGCATTGCAAGCTTTATTTATTTACATGCCTGTGTTGATGAGGTTGTTCTCAATACTTGATCTGAATACCAAACGAGCTAAATCTTCTTTTTGTCACCCACATTGTTTATCTTCACGAGTTATCTTTTCTGATCAAGTCAATGTTAAAATGGGTCCATAATTATAACAACACAATAAATCAATGTTGAATTTGAGATTAGGAGATCAGAGATATGAGAATCAGAAATACAATTTAGAAAAGAGATGAGAATGAAGAGAAGGCTTAATGAATCTGTCTTGAATTTGATATGCTACAATTACATAAATACCCCAGACACTCCTATGTAATTTCATAAATATTAAATACGCGTAGAATGTTCACCTATACCTGCATCATAGCATCCCTCCTATTCATTCTGAACAAGAAAATATGTCGTGGAGAGTGACAAGATATCAGCACGAAGGATGTGTTGCCTAGTGAAGTCATAGTCAACATTCAATGCAATGAGGAAATCAAAAACTCAATTTTTCTCAATGTACTTCCTGTATTGTTCAGCACCAACAAGATCCTTCCACACCAAAGCCTCTAAATGATCAATTTCTTCCCAAATTAATTATAAGGAAGAGAATTACATAGCAATCGACCTCTCCCCCTAATGCATATTACATGCTTCTCTTCGCAACTGATAGATTCTATTAGTGTTTTTAGCTTGAGAATAAGTGGCAATCAACCTGTCCCAAATATCCTTGGCTGTTGAAAGGAACATATAGTTGTGGGCAATGTGTGGCTGCATAGAGCATTCAAGCCATGACATGACCATCAGACTATCCTGCTCCCACTTGGAATGGTTTGGATCTTCAAGCTTTGGTTTAGCTTCCTTGCCAGTAAGAAAACCAAACTTAACTCTCCCACCGAGTGTAAACCAAGCTGGTTGGGACCATTCAAGGAAATTTGTTCCATCAAGTTTTACAGTAGTAATCTGTCCCCTAGCATTATCATTACCTCCCAAGAAGACATAGGTAGGCATATGGACATCTTTGTGTGAGTCCATCGATCACAACCCCTCCAAAACAATCTTTCTCACCAACACCATAATATCCCAACATCAGCTGAACACCCAAAATCCTTTCCCACAAGGTTGAACACAAGTTGCAGAATAGAACAAGGGAAAAATAGGTGTTGGTGGCAAAATAGTGAAGGAAAAAAAATTTCTCAAAAATATTTTAGGGCTCCAAAAAATCGGGGACCACTTCCTGTAGTCTCAGAAATTACCCATGATTCAAACACTAGAGGTTCCAAAGGAAGCCAACCCACCATACTGTAATCTGAAGAGCTATACTCGAAGTAGCAAGGAAGAAAAGAGAATGACAGAAAAGAAGAGAATGTCGAAC